AGCATATACAGCCAAAAGTATAATGTATACCCCTAAACGGAAGTCGGGCCTTGCGCTTGGCGGCTTTCGAAGCTGTCGAGGGACTTGCTGTATCCACGGTTGGGGCTGGACTGCTCTTGGGTGTGGCTTCATGGGGCCTGTGCGACTTGCTTGGGGATTCACGGTGCTCTCGACGCCTCTTCGGAGTAGACTTGTTCGGGGATTCATTGCGCTCTCGACGCTTCGTGCTACTGCTAGAAGGCTTGCTTGGGGATTCACGGTGCTCTCGAGGCCTCTTCGGAGTAGACTTGTTTGGGGATTCACTGCGATCTCGACGCTTCTGCTTGTTCGAGGACTCCTCTGCCCGGGCTGTGGATCCAGGCTTCTTCGGGGTAGCAGACCTTCGGCGCCCCTCCTCAGGAGCCTTTGCAGACTCTGCGGGGACGTGATGGCGCGAGTTGCTCCGTCTGCATCTTGGGCTAGGAGTGGGGCTGCGGCTTGGTCGGTTCTTTCGTCTTGAAGTAGATTTAATCGGGGAGCTGTGTGGGCTTACAGCCTTTTGTTGGCTTTCTCGGCGTCCGGGTCTCCTTGGTGGGTTCCTGGTCTGAAGTTTTTGGGTTGGCTGCTGCTGGGCCTGCTGCGGGTTCCGGGCTGTGGAACAGCTTGCGAGGCAAAGGGGAGTTCAGAAGGGTAGAGGCAGAAGTGGCATGCCGAGGTTGAGCCCCTTCCCAATATGGATCATCCATACCATCATCTGCCACCTCACTATAGTAAAGACACCCGTGGTATTAAATAGGAAACATAATGACAGCGCTCGAGCACACATGCAATCTCATGTCGTAATTGAACCAGGCTGCTGTGGCGGTCGTCGGCGAGTCCTCCTCCTTGATAAGGCTGGCATGGAGAAGCTCACGAAGTTCATTGAAATCCTCGGAAGGGTTTTGGCTTGCAGGGTTGTGTACTACACTAAACATATAGAGCTTCGTCCTATAAATTAGAAACCAATGCAAGCCAGTTGCACAATCACAGTCCATAATCAACTCATCATCGGAATCATCGTGTGCTTCAGGAACTGCTGGTACATG